GGTTTGGAGTTAAGGGTCTTTGGTCTCCAAGGTTGGGGGTCTTGGGGCCTTTGGGTTGAACCCTAAACCTTCAGCGTCTTCAGACTTTGCGCTCTAGGGGGTCTGTTGACTGCCGGTTCACACATGGGAAGCCCCGATTTACAGTGCAATTGCGATGCAGAGACAAGCTGAAGAGCTGTTTTTATCTCGCCAACCCCATCCCCTAAACCCGAAACCCATCCCAAACCCTTAACCCCAGCCGAAAACCCTTTGAGCTACCGACGTCCACAGGGCGACGACTGATCCTTGCTGAGCATCCAAGTCATGTGTAATTGCTGGTTTAAGGTTCAGGGTTTATTGTAGAAGACTTAATAATTCGAACAGGGTTTTGGAAGTTATACTATATATATATATATATATATATATATAAAGGAACCCCCAAATAGTATAGGCAAATTTTTCGGCCCCCATCTTACTCACAACTAAATGTCAGACACCAGACCATCGGAACGGCGCGTTTACTTTTGCGACGCTTGGGATTTGATTCGCATCTCTGTGCCGTGGCTTCGTTTGGTTGGGTAATGGACTTGAGATCCTTTCCCCGGGTGAAGAGATGATTCTCGAGCGTGTGCGCATGAAGCCAAAGTTGCATGATAACCAGGGGTTGTTCAGTTAGGTAATTCTTTGCTAGATCGCTCTTTAAGGATAGATGTGGATAAGAGGATCTTCACTGAAAATAGTGCGTACTTCTGTCGGTAACCCGTTGAGGCCAGCTAGGCCCTGACATGGACAGGGCTGAGATGGACGCTGCAGAGTTCAGCGGCACAGCTGTTGCCACAACACGAAGGGTTGTCAGATCTTGATTTCGGTCCAGCCTGGACCCTAAACCCCTAAACCCTAAACCCTACCCTAAACCCTAAACCCTAACCCCAGAACAAGACCCCAATTGAGGGAGTGGAATTTGGAGTTTCAATTACGAAGTCTCGGGTTTGGGTTTGGGGAAACTGCAGCTGCATTGGAGAAAGCGAGCCTTTTTTCTATGTACCATTCTGCCGTGTGAAGCTACTTCCGAACACGATGATGTGAAGATGTCTCTCGGATTTCGTCTGAGTTTCCAAACTGAAAAGCCGAACCCTGAATCTCAAACTCGAGTTCCCTGCACCCTTCAACCTAAACCTGAAACTCTAACCCTGCAAGCCCTTCCACACCGGTAGACCCAACACCTTCAAGCCTAAGCCCTACATTGGCCCTACATTCCCTAAACCCTACCTTAACCTACCAAAACCTACTTTTTTTGTAGGGTCCCTGTAAATTCCATATTGGGGTTTGTAATCAGAACCTACAAAAAACGAGGTTTTGGTAGGTTCAGGTACCCTAAACCCTAAACCCTAAACCTACGCCCCTACATCTCAAAGCCGGATTCCTTGGACCTGGAGCCTCCCTGCACTGGCGTTTCAGTTAACGTGGGGCAAAGGAGAGTGGATCCCTATCACCAACTCCCTAGGTTTAGGGTTTAGGGTTGAGGTTTAGGGTTTAGGGTTGAGGTTTAGGGTTTAGGGTTGAGGGTCTAGGGATTGCGGGTTGAGGGGTTTGGGTCCCTATGTAATCCCTTGCAGTAGCCCCTATATTCAGTCCTTCCTATTCCTACACCCTAGCCCTCATCTGTTCCCTTCCCGGAACCCTAAACCCTAAACCCTGAACCCTAAACCCTAAACCTGAGACTGGGCCCCGGGCCCCCATTTCCGCTCTGCCGAGGGCCGGTGGTTGTCAATGAAGCCCTTCTTCTCCAAGCTGTCCTGAAAAGGGTTGCGGGTTTAGGGTTTAGGGGTTTAGGGGTTTAGGGTTCAGGGGTTTAGGGTTCAGGGTTTAGGGTTTAGGGTTTAGGGCATTGGGCTTCGGGTTTCGGGCATCGCGGTTCGGGTTTAGGGCCTAGGATTGTCGGGCTTAGGGTATATGCTTCAGGCTTCTCTGAACAGCGGTGGGTGAAATCCTTAGCTGCGCTGGT